CTTTCAGTATCCATCCACTTATCCCACTCGACTCCTGCGCAGTGGCAGTCTGGCAGGAGCTGTGGCTCTGCGACCGGTTCCCGTCCGTGCCCGCCCCGCCGGCCCGCGCCCCGGCCAGAGAGCGGAGTTCGGGATAAAATCTCAGCTGTGACACAACGAGTCCTGTTTATTTTTAACTAACTGGTTGCGTCGCATCTGCCTGCACCTGAGCCGGCGGCGGCCGGGTCCCGTTGCCGACATGTAGCCCCCAGCCACCTACTTACTTGCAATCAGGATAAACTCGCGGCGGCGGCGGCGCGTCGGTTTTCATGCAGTCGAGTGCAAACTATTGGCTGTACCAACAGGGACGCTAATGTAACCGATGCACACTGACTTACAATCACCCTGATGACTGCACGGTTGGCGCAGTGGCTGGGTGACCGGCGCGGTGGCAGCTGTGTAACGGGTCCGCTCTTTGATTCCCACATGGGTACGATACAATTGTTTGTGCTCTTCTCAAGTTGTTCGTGAATTCAATGAATTCGTATGTTTTTTTGATAGCAAACACTTTCATGACACAGGAAAAATCCTATTGTAAAGACACATTTACTTAATAAGACGAATTAAGTTATTACGAAGATAGATTCTACACAGTGACGTGTGGCGCGGTCAGTCTCGGTGCGTCTGTTGTGTGTGTGTGTGTGTGTGTGTGTGTCGCGTGATCGTGTCCGCGTCCCAGTCGTTATGACAAGTGCGCGTAATTTGCGTGAGAACGGCGCCGGCGCACGTGCACGCCGCGCCGCGCCCACTCGGCGCACTGCACGCACTCTACGACACCTGGGATTCCCAGTTATGTCATTTACCTAACTCTGGTAACGGAGGGAAAAATATATGAACTTCCGAGCCAACAACCGCTCCCAGGGCTGATTGTTCAGTAACAGATCATTCCTATCTGCAGAATAAAAATGATATTTGACAATTTTACTTTAGAACAATTGTCAAATATTCAAAATATATTAACTACTCCGGTGTTTATTTGGTGTCTGAAAAATAAACCCTAATAGGTATAAGTATTACAAAAATAATCCAGTTCAACATTTCAAGTTCCTTTATTGTTACAACTTGACTAAATAACATTGTTCTAAATATTTGTAATATATTTAATTAATAGAGGAGAAGCGCGGCGCACTGCGTCACCTCACATTTCAAACCGTCCATTAAACCGTATTGCAGTAATTATATTATTTGTTTGAGACATTCGACATAATATGTTCAATAAGTCACTCTGTGTAGTGTAGATGTCTCGCTCACTACAGTCAGTGGCGAGTTCTTCATTATAGAAATGTATTTGTTAATGCTACACAAGTGGCCTTAATATATTTTTACCTTCATTTTTAACTTTTAGATTTTGTCCATCGTTCCTTAGTTCAGGTCTCAAGGGAAAATATATTAGAGTAGGTATAGTTTGTATTCCTGTATTATTAAAATTGTAACCGAACAGACCACGTGTTGATAGTCAAATAAATGATTTGACACAGACAGACAAACGACAACCAACGCGAGTATACAAGGACCCGGCCCCGCTCCTACTTAAGTATGGAATTATAAAACAATACAAAGCAAATACATCAACAACATTGAGTTGATTGTGATAAAATGCAAAGTGTGCCAAAAACGTAATGAGAACAAAATGTACCGCGGCAGCGGCGCGCGCCGCGCCGGCCAGTGCGGACTTATCGCGAGCCGACGGATGTACCGCGCATGCGCCAGTACCGCGAGCGACGCACAGCTTCCGTCTATTTATCTGTCAGCTCCCTGACCAGCCCCCCACCCCCCCACCCCGCCTCCTCCATCTCTAATCACATATTTAATCCGTACATTGTAAAATACACAAAGTTAAAAACATTTTTTTATACAAATATTAACTAAGTATATTCAATCCATATAGAGGTAGTAAACCAATGCAAATAAACTATCTTTATCCATGAATTAAATGAATAGACAGTCGAGCAGAGTTGACAGACGCAGTGCTCCCAGGGCACGCACTGCCTTGGACACAGCTCTGTGCAGGCTGCAGGTGTTGAGACTGTTACTGATACTCGCGCCAACTTCAAATAAACATAGTTGAAACCTTTTTCTTCCATGTCCGTACTATATATTAAGATTTTCATAATAACTATCGTGAGACATACTTATTTAATTAAAAATCGCGGGTTACTCACGTGAATATGTCGCGGAGAACCTAACGGGTAACCGGGGCTCCGGCTCGACGTGCAGGAGAAGGAACGGTGTGGTTTTTACTCAGTAAGAATCTGACACTCCCTCCCGCCTCACCCAGGCGGGAGCAGTCATTCGATGATTTTACCCCCTTAAAAAAAAACTCACGTGAATATACTAAGAATATGTCTAGGCACTAGTTTCGAACCATAGAGAGGTTATTCCTCATGAGCAGCGTGCGCGCCTGCGCGGTCGCGGCGACGTCGCGCAGCGTGCTGTATATTCCCGTGAGTAACCCGCGATTTTTAGTTAAATTAGGATTTTCATTGTACTCTATAAAATTGGGTACTTGACAACTAATCAAATTCAATATTTCGTTCGAACTGTCATTAGCATTATTTAGCATACTTATTTCTTAAAAATAGGTATGCTGGAAAAATACTAAAATTAAGTTGGTCATAAAATCAATTACTGAAAGTGTGAATATTTTTTAATATTTTATTGTAATGAACAGTCGAAATAATTTATTGTTTACTAAGGTAAATTGTGTGTGTGAGTGTGTGTGTGTCACACTTCGCCGTCTCACAAACTACAATAATAGGAAACACTACACCAGAGTCCGGCCACTTCACCCCTCGATCTCAGCGCAGCAGACACACCGTCACCGCCTGCTTCGCTCCCAGAACTTTAAATGCGAAAGAGCAAAGTGAACTCGATCGCGGTACGTCGTGTATTATTTTGTCATGTTTAATACTTCGTAGTATCATCCAGACTCTGTTCGGCTTGTTATTGACCATTTTTGAAAACCCCCGGAAGTGCTACGCTAAATGCTTAATTATTATTATATAATATGTATTTTTTCGATCAAGAATCGAACTTGCAATCACTAGATCAACGATACAGTCAATATCTGTCTAACAATATCGGTTTCGACTGCACGGTTGGTGCGGTGGCTGGGCAACCGGCTGCTGTGGAACGTGTCGTTGGTTCGATTCCCGCACGGAACAACACTTTGTGTGATCCATAAATAACTGTGTGTGTGAACTTGTATGTTGGTAAACGCACCCACGTCACAGGAGAAAATCTTAGTGCGGGCGCGACGTTTTTAAAAAACAAATAAATAAAAAAGAACAAACGGTAATATTGAGTCTCATCATCTTCCCATCGTCTATCTTCTTAATCCCTGATAGTTCAGCAGCTTCCTAGTAACACACCGCGAGCATGTGCCGGCAACGATATGTAAGTATAGTACGTCTACCATTGCAGCGCAGAGTCGCACGAGCACGGAGCCGGAGGAAAGCGCCCAGCGCTGCACAATAAAAGTAAATCAGTGCTGGCGGGGGCCGGGCGCGGGGCGCGGGGTCGGGGGCGCGGAACGCGGGGCGCGGGGCGGCCGCCGCCGGCAGTTGGAGCCCGAGCCCCGCGGCGAGCGCACGAGTGCAGTGAGCGCGCAGTCCGAGTGTCCAGTGCAGTGAGTGTGTATAGTGCGTGCCACCCCGGCGCTGCAGTGAGTGTGCCATGCGGGACGCGGCGCCCCGGCGGCGCGCGGCGCGGCGCTGACCCGATGCGCGGCGCGCGGAGTCCGCGGCGCACGCCGCTGCTGCTCGCCCTCGCCCTCGCCTGCCTGCTGCGCGTACGTCTTGTCCTCTACACTAATCTCTCCCGCCGTCTAACACTTGTTCTAACTTACTGCAGGGTTACTTGTGGTATCTCTACCAGACGTGCCTAGAGTCGGTGTATGTGTCTCAACTTGTAGTATTCGCATCGAGTGGCAACAAATATATCGATGTTGAACCAGAGTCACTGCGAGCGGATCGGTATGTGTGCGAGCGTGCGTGCGCCGCCACTCGCCAGCAGCGAGCTGTGCGTGCTTCACATACAGATCAGTCGCGAGCTCGCGCGGCCGCCAGCGCCTGCAGCCGCCAGCCGGCACTCTGTGACGTCCTGTACATACGTCCACACTGTCAGACTGTCACACAGCACCTGTAGGACAGTCTGCAGGCGATGTCATGTCTCGGAGGTCGCACACAGACACGTGCCGCGACACATTGTCTTACTGTTCTGAGAAAGGACCGAGTTGAGTAGAAACACGGACCAACCTCGATAGATTGTATTGTGTTGTTTTATCTACCGATACTGAGTGACGAGCGACAGATTCCTGCAGGCTCCTTGTGCAGTGCAGGGCAGCAAGACGACTGCTTCAAATTCACAAGGAAACGGGAAAACATTTAACAACTTTAATAGACTTTGAACTCACGGGGAATTGTCAATAAATATAAACATATACACCGTCTCTACCCGGTACACATAACATGTAACTCTCGTGTAATAATTTGCTTCCACTCATATTTATCTCTTTCTCTACCATCTCTATCTCTCTGTGTATATATTGGTTGTTTGCTTGCGATACTTGCTTCGTTCCAAAGTCGGTACTATGTAGTATGTACCCACACTGGCCGCCAGAAGGTTCCACGAGGATATACTTTTCGAACTTTGTCTCTTATTGTAGCACAGCACTTATTATTGGGCTCATAATTATGATTAAATCAACAAAAATACATAATTAATTAACTCTATGTGAATATATGAAATAGTAACGTAACAGTGTAACGGATGTATCACTCGTCACACGATAGCCTACATTACTGTAGCACTTACTTATTTCTACATAAATATATATATATAGGGGGAATGTACACATAAACTCATCCAACTATGATATTGATGACCCAGAATCGTGTCACTTGGCGTTCCATATTCTCTGCCTGCACTCTGTGTGGCCGGCGCGACATGATACATACACAATGTACGTAAGCACTAATGTAAGTTTCGCCAACATTGGTAGCACTACGACGCATGCTACGTACACTTAAATGTACTGCGTAGCCGTAGCAACAGATCGTTGATGTCTTTTGTATGGCGATAACAACATTACCTGTTGCAGGCAGTTTGAGCGACCTCATGTCGTTAATTGCATGTATTGAGTAAATATATGACAAAATATAATGTTTCTTAAAATCACTTTAGTTTACATATATGTCGTTATTAAAATAAAGGATCATCCTCCGATGCGGTACAGCTACGCGCTACGCAACGCTTGGCGCGCTACGCTGAGCTACAAGTGTACTCAGGATATTTTAGTAATATGAAATGATGGTAATACGAATGTTTGTTACTTTTTCATACGAAACGATTCGACAAAATACCAAAATTAACGTAGAGACAGATAAAGTACAGTTTGAAATAACACGCGCCGTACTTCCACCTGTATCACTTGTACAAGCTCACTTATATAGTATATGTATTTGTAATTTTATACTGTGGTATAGACTGCCTCATTGGCCGAGTGTTCGCAACTGCGGCTGCCGGGCAAGGGGTCTCGGGTTCGATTCCCGGGTCGGGCAAAGAATTACTGGGTTTAAAAAAAAATCTTAGCACTAGCACGGAGTCTTGAAACTCAGCCCTTATTACATGGGCCTCATAACATAAATAGAGAAAAGTGGGTGTTACATTGTACAGTGTACAGCATTTAAGTGCCGTAATGTGCACTGTTGCCTACCCCTCCGGGGATAAAAGGCGTGATGATACTATATTTTTGTATGGGAAAAGAATTAAGTTGGGACTAAGGGATTAATCAAAGGCGGTAAATTATTTATAAGCTGCATAGAATGTAGCATTTCATATAATTATAAATCGGCTGAAAAAAAACTAGTTTTTTATGTTTAGCGGTTTTTGTACTCACACAGAGGGCTAGTTGCACTCCGAGTGAGTCCTCACTGTCCTCTCTGTACTCTGTGACTGAGGGACTGTACTTTATGTTGTTCGTGTATTACTTTAACTGCCTTCTTTTGTACAATTGTTTTGTACTTACGAATCAAAAGAGTTTCGAATCAGAATCCAACGCACGCTTACATCTCGTGTCGTGTACTGTCGACGACATTCACTTGGACACATTTGAATCGAAGTATTTATTCCATCCATCATTCACAATGTGGCTCAGGTCAACATACAATTAGCATGATATTACAGAGCAACAACATGAGAATTACTTTTACATAAATACATACTATCATTGGCCCCGCCGCTGCTCCGCCGCCGCACCGTGCCTGCCGTCGCCCGCGACTTCGTCCGCGGAATATGATTCCTGTTTTATCCCATGGGAACATTTAGTTGGGATACAAGTATCCTGACACCTAAGTCAGCCCATACATACCCCGCCTGCATACCAAATTTCATTAAAATCCGCTCAGTAGTTTCAGCATGATAGACGGACAAACATCCAAACAAAGAAACTTTCACGTTTATAATATTATATAGTGTGTGTTTAAAGTTAACTCAGGTTTTTAAGTCAGGAATTCATAATTATAATTTTTGTCTTATGTTGAATATAATATCGATTCTTGACGATTTTGGTATATTTCCCACCAAAATTTTCTCATCAAATTAAGCTAACAACACCATCGTGTCAGTCATCAATAGTTTCTTTCGGTGCACTTTCGTTTGAGACTCCACTCGAGTATATTTACAGATTGCTTTCACGCACATAACTTTAATAAAAAAAAAACTGAATTGTAATCGCTTCATCCGTTTACCGATGAGTAGATTTAGAAGCTTTATATTCAAATTCTGCGTAAAGTAAATTAATATATTTAGCATTTAGAAGGTCATTGACGGACAGACAGACAGACTATACTACTTTTTGATGTGTCGAAAGTACCTGCACATCTATAGGTAGTTCACATTAGTGCATTACCTTTGTACAGCCCTCAACGGTACATAAATATTTGGCTGACATTACATCGGCACGATCATCTGCGAGTGATCCACAACTTGTTGTTCTGGGTCTACGTGTCATGCTCATCTGAAATTGTTTGTTTATAAACGCACCCACGAAGGCCACGACGTAGGAGGTAATCCTTTAGTGGGGCGGTGCTTAAAAGACCACTTAATATTACTAATGGTAGGTATTCCAGTCATAGACATGCTCTGACCAGAACTTTGAACAGAAAATTGTCCGATAATTGTAATTTAGAACGACGTATGATTGCCAGCTACATTATTTATTAAAACACATACAAACTGCGAGAGATGCGATGCCTCGAATATCGCCTGATTGGTAAATGATTGCCTACATCGGCTCCCACTGCCTACATTCGTCAATTAGAGTAGTTTACGATGAATAGATTAAAATTGTAGAAGTGAAAATACTGTACATTAAATAATTTCAAAAATTGTAGGGTACAATACAACATTGTACTATATGGACACCGATACCCAAAATGTGAGAAAAAAAATTTTTGTTTATTTGTCTGTCTGTATGTTCACGCATCACGCAAAACTACCGGTCCGATTACGATCAAACCTGGTATGATTATACTTTAATATCCTGGGTATGACACTCTGGAGTGTTATACCCAGGATATTAAATTTCTTATCCCGAAAAAGTAGTCGCGGAGAACCTAACGGGTAACCGGGGCTCCGGCTCGACGTGCAGGAGAAGGAACGGGGTGGTTTTTAGTCAGTAAGAGTCTGACACTCCCTTCCGCCTCACCCAGGCGGGAGCAGTCATCCGATGATTTTCCCCCCTTAAAAAAAAATCCCGAAAAAGTATAAACACGAAAAAACAAACTTAATTGTGCGGCTCAATATCTAGACACAGATACTGTACCAAACGCAGATAGGTATATATAAGTTGTCAAATGTCAGGTTACCCGCAGAGGACTTTACGCTGTTATCGATTGTTACGCTGATACCGATGGTTGAAATTAGCTTTAAACGATATTACAAATGTGAAAATATGTGAAGGAGATCATTTTTATGGGCCTATTCTGAAAGTGCCGTGCCAACGGAAAGATATGGTACGTGTCGCTAGACCTACGATCGAGAGGAGGCTGTTGAAGATATCCTCACAAAAATAAAAATAAAAACGATTGCGAAAACTTTTCGCATTATCATCACAATTGCCTCAGATCCATTATTCTAACAACATCAATGATTACTTCGCGTTTACTAGCCTACCTTACAGAACCTACCTTCAGAAAGCAATAAATCTTTGAACTGGTATAACTTCTTCATCTTGGATCCTACAACTTTTACGCCATATTAACTATTGCTCCAAATGGCTAGTTCAAACGATACGTACCATTTATTTAGTAGGCACTTTAAGTAAACTCCCAATAATGTGCGGACGCGAAGTGATCTCCTTTGTCTGTATGTTTGTTACTCAGTCACATCAAAAGGCTGAAGTGACCGGGATGTAATTGGGAACAGAGGTAGATTACGGTCTGGAGTAATACATACTCTAATTTTTATCCCTTTTTAATTTGGGCTCGCTGCCATCGCAGCGGTAAGTCCCCTCTTTGAGGAGTGGCTTGAGAGACGCTACGGCGTCCTCACCTACCGCCTGACGCAGGTCCTCACCGGACATGGCAGTTTCGGGAGGTACCTGTGTCTGATGGGGCGGGAGGAAACGCCCGGGTGTCATCACTGCGAGGACCGCCCTGAGGACACGGTGGAACACACGGTGGGAGAATGCCCTTCGTGGGCTGAGCACCGCCGTGTCCTCAGGGAAGTGATCGGCGATGGCGACCTCTCGCGTCCGGGCCTAGTGCAGGCCATGATGCGGAGCGAGGGGGATTGGGATGCCGTCTCCTCCTTTTGCGAAGCAGTCATGCTAGCTAAGGAGGAGGCGGGACGCGTGAGGCAGCGAAGCGCTGCCTCCTCGCAACCCAGCCATCGCGAAGGACACACCGGGCGTCGGGGATCGCGGGACGATCTCCGGCCACCGTAAGCGCGGGCCTGCGGACGGCGAGCATGGGTGGCTCCCCGTCCGACCAGAAACAGACCCGAGCGTACGGCGCGTCGCGTTCCGCGCGCGCCTCAAAGAGCCATCAGACCACCACAGATGGGGTCCAATAGGGCCGATGCCGATTCGGAGTCGCGGAGAACCTAACGGGTAACCGGGGCTCCGGCTCGACGTGCAGGAGAAGGAACGGGGTGGTTTTTAGTCAGTAAGAGTCTGACACTCCCTCCCGCCTCACCCAGGCGGGGGCAGTCATTCGATGATTTTCCCCCTTAAAAAAAAAAAAAAAAATCCCTTTTTAATTATTTCCATTCACTGCGTTTAAAAAAACCGACTTCAACCTCCTTTTGTTTAATCGGTTCATAATATACCAAAACCTGCCCTCAAGTGTAACCAACGCTATTCTGAAAAACATCTCAAAATCGGTTTAGCCAATTGCGAGTTAATCACACATATATACACTTATTAAAAAAAAAATACAGAACAAACTCAGAACCTCATTTTTTGAAGTCGGTGCCTGATGTGTATCAGGGAATCGTCTTCCAGTACAAACCTGCAGCAGTGTGGCACGTTGGTCTCCAAATACGGTAGTGTCAGGTGTTACAGTATTTTAATAACTTGAAGAAAATTGTTTACTACCTACTCCTGCTCCGAGCTGTAGCCGCGGTAGCCCGCCAGGTCGTCCACAGCATGCTCGCCGACCGCAGACCCGTATATATGTACCTATATAGTTTGACATACGTGAAGATTTAGTATATTTTCAAAGTAAATAAACTAGTAATAATAAATGAACCTGTTATTAAAATAAAATTATTAAAAAAATTAAATGGAAGTAAAAACATATCACATTATTTGCTTATTTACGTGAGAGCAAACGTACTTACACTGTGATGTATTTAATGTAATACAAGCAATAACTATTATTTCTTATCAAACTTGCGTCCAATTACGTCTGCCGCGCACAGCAACACTGGAATGATCTGTCGCCGGCGTATTTCCGACCCGAAGCGACGTTCAAACCTTCAAGAAAAGCGCGTATTTCTTTTCAAAAGGCCGGCAACGTACCTGTGTCCACTTTGGTGTTGCGGGTGTCTATGGGCCGCCTGACATGTTCTTAAATACTTTGTACTTAAATAAGTTGTACTTAAGATTGAGTATTCGGGCGTTACTTTTAACAATATTTTTGAAGAAATCTAATTAAATAATTATATACAAGGTGTTGTTTTAAAGCCGCGTCATTTTTTAGGAGGTAACTCGGCTATCGATTCTGAATGTGAATCAATAAAAGAAATTGTAGGTAAATATTTTTAATTTTTCTGTATAAAAAAAAAAGAAATCCGTAAGTGTGAAGTACACGCCGCCGTCTTTTAACTAGCTTTATAACGCGGCTCTACACACACAAACTCAAAAACGTATTAATTGATGTTATTCCTAATTCCATAAAACTCCAATAATTGCTGTCGCTTATTCTGAAATACTATTGAACTTAAACGATTTTCTCTTATTGAATCTTTATGACTTCTGTGACATGCCTCCGAGAAATGTCGCGGTTTCAAAACTACACCTTGTATAACTCAAAGGACCCAAACCACTCGACGGATCGAGTTGTTTGGCATGCAGGCAGATCTAAGAAAGAATTTTGATAAATCTACTCCCCAAGGGGATAATATGAGGGATGAAAGTTAGGAAAGAAAAAAATAAAGAAATTATTTTCTGCCAGAAGTCATCATTACATACATTGTACGCGGGCGAAGTCGCGGGCAACAGCTAGTATTAAATAAAGGCGTGGCTTGGCGTAGAGGATTGACGAGTTCACAACACGTCGTTACCATTTATTGAGTGGCGCGATCATAATAGATCATACATTATATAAGGTGCTCTATAATTTTTAGCCACGGCTTTAATGGGAGGTAGTGTTATGTTTACAGATTACAATTGTGAAGAAATTTCGTGCCCCGGACCAGTTAATTACATACAGTAATTAAGTAAACATTGACTACATTCTGCATAATGTGGTTCACAAATTACGCGCGATGCGTCGCTTAGTCAATGAAAACAATTGCTATCTCTTTCCACGTGTACTGAGAATGAAAACGGAAATCAGCTGACTAGTTCGTCACTATCTAATCTACTAGATACTCAATAGGCAGGCTAACAAGGGTTTTAAAAGTGCAATTACTTACCAGGTACGGCATTCTTCCGAAAAGCTGATGTAGGTAAATAAGATTATAAACTTCCCATCACACTTAAAACAGTTTTTTACACACTCTCTACCTACTTATCTACAAAACTGTTGCACAAGTCCACCTTCGCGTTGCACACAAATGAAGGCACGCTTCCAAACATGTCATATCACATTATTTAATGCGTCCGTTTCACTTTTACTATGTTTCGCGTTTGATTTAAAAGACGCCACAAGTTATTGTCTCTATCATCGTAAACTCCGGCAGTATCCCTTGTGCTCGCAAGAGGATGACACCGAAAGAACTCTAACACTTCCTCTTCGAGTTCTGATTAGAATTTCGTCGCCTGGGAGTCATTTTTACGTAGCGCGCGCGTATCCCCGACAATTGAAACTAACAACGTCCGCGCAGGCAGGGGTTGACTGGGCTACTGGCGGCCGGGCGGCGCGTGCGACGAGTTCTGCTGGCTGGGGTGTGCTGTCTCGTTCTTGAACGCCCCGTCATACGCTGTTGCCATCCTTATCAGTAGCTCAACCCCCGCCTGCCCGGCGGCCGGTTGACCAGCGCGTGCCACGAGTGCAGGAGAGGGTGCGGGCGCGCGGGGGTGTGCAGCGTGCTCGTAGCCGCCCGGCGCGAGCGGTCTGATAAGGATGGCAACAGCGTATGACGGGGCGTTCAAGAACGAGACAACACACCCCAGCCAGCAGAACTCGTCGCACGCGCCGCCCGGCCGCCAGTAGCCCCGTCAACCCCTGCCTGTCCGCACGTTAGTTTTAATGTCGGAGATACGCGCGCGTTACGTAAAAATGACTCCCAGGCGACGAAATTCAAATCAGAACTCGAAGAGGAAGTGTTAGAGTTCTTTCGGTGCCATCTTCTTGCGTGCACAAGGGATACCGCCGGAGTTTACGATGATAGAGACAATAACTTGTGGAGTCAAACGCGAAACAAAGTAAAAGTGAAACGGACACGTTAAATAATGTGATATGACATGTTTGGAAGCGTGCCTTCATTTGTGTGCAACGCGAAGGTGGACTTGTGCAACAGTTTTGTAGATAAGTAGGTAGAGAGTGTGTAAAAAACTGTTTTAAGTGTGATGGGAAGTTTATAATCTTATTTACCTACATCAGCTTTTCGGAAGAATGCCGTACCTGGTAAGTAATTGCACTTTTAAAACCCTTGTTAGCCTGCCTATTGAGTATCTAGTAGATTAGATAGTGACGAACTAGTCAGCTGATTTCCGTTTTCATTCTCAGTACACGTGGAAAGAGATAGCAATTGTTTTCATTGACTAAGCGACGCATCGCGCGTAATTTGTGAACCACATTATGCAGAATGTAGTCAATGTTTACTTAATTACTGTATGTAATTAACTGGTCCGGGGCACGAAATTTCTTCACAATTGTAATCTGTAAACATAACACTACCTCCCATTAAAGCCGTGGCTAAAAATTATAGAGCACCTTATATATTGTTATGTACCTGTCCTACCGTCCCAGGATCTCTCCTACTTGTATTTCACATCTCCTATAACCAAACAAATATTGTTATTGCATCTTAGTAGTAGCACGGAGTCTGGAATTGTGCCCAGTATATGGCAATAGGCTCACCCCCTATTACATGGGACTTGTAACATAAACAGTGAAAAGTGGGTGTTACATTGTACAGTGGTATAATGTGCACCTCTGCCTACCCCTTCTGGGATAAAAGGCGTGATGTTATTTTTTTGTCATAACTTTTTAAGCATTACGCATGTGAGTACACAAAGACTAGTTATACAGTAGCTACAGTGTCTCATGTGCGTATTTGCATGAATTTTTTTTAAACTACGAAATAAATGACAACTTTGTACTCTCTGTGTTTACTCTATACATCGAAGGCACTCCTTACGGCAAGTTGTTTTGTCGCGGGACGGAAACGAAATAGATTTCATGATGTATATCGATATACGTACACATATAACACTTCGCTCGCCCAGACCTGGGGCAATAGTTTGTGATTCATCAATTCATCATACAAGGAATTAATAATTCCATGTAGGAGTCGAACCCGACACATTGCAAAGAACGTGCTATCAATTTCAAAGAGATAGTGTTTTGTAAGTTCAGCAGCGTTCTAGTAGAACGCTGCGAGCCGTGTATGGGGCACCTCCGAGTGTGGTGTCAAAGTATTGGCGGCTTGTGGCCGTCTCATTGCTCCCTCAGTGGGCGTGTCGTGGCCGTGGTGGACGTCCCTCCCGAGCTGTGCAACACGCGGGGTGGGCGGGGCGCGGCGGGCGTGTCGCGCGCGAGGCGGGGAGTACGCGGTCCGCCCCTGTCGCTCGAGGCGATATAAACAAACAAAGCGGCGGCGGCGTCACGCTCGGCCGCGCCGCCCGCCGCCGCCCGCCACCGCCCGCCACCGCCCGCCACAGCCCGCCACAGCCCGCCGCCCGCCATCCGTGACATCAACCGATTACTTCCTCTCGATACTAAGTCTCTATAACGTGACATGATACACGCCAGTTCATCAGTAGTTACTCTCTGCGTCCAAAATATTTATTGACTAGCTTATACTTAATGAACTGTTTTAGCCTCATCTATTTATTGAACCACCACCTTTAGACTGAAGATATCGGTCAGACCCGCAGCGAGCGAGCGACTCGTTGTTCGTCGTCGTTTGAGCTGTTGTTTTGTTCTCTTAACGACGTTACAATAATAAGATGGAAACATAAAAACGGAAGGAAATTATTGTCGCAACAACAATATCTCACAACAAACTCCGGTGACATACGGTCTAATGATTGAATGAACGCAACAGTGTCGCCGCCTCGCCTGCCCTCGCAGGTCCTTGGACACTCGCCCAGAAACACCGACTGGAGCCGGAGGCGTGCCGTGACCCTTGCCTTTTGTTGCGTAACCCCAGTGGGTGGTGTTGCAGTGCGCGGCGGGGGCGGGCGTGTTCGAGCTGCAGATCCTGGAGTTCTCCAACTACCGCGCGGCGCTGGCGTCGGGCGCGTGCTGCGGCGGCGGCGCGCGCGCAGCGGCCGAGCAGGCGTGCGCCGCGCCGTGCCGCACTCGGTTCACGCTGTGCCTCAAGGAGTACCAGTCCGCCGCCGCGCCCGGCGCCTGCTCCTTCGGCCGCGCCGCCTCGCCAGTGCTCGGCACCGACTCCTTCACGCTCGCCGAGCCGCTCTACACTCTGGCGCTACCCTTCTCTTTCCGTTGGACGGTGAGTGCTGACTTTACTCTATGAACTTATTGAATATACCAAAGTATTTCACCCGTCAGTCTTTTATAGCAGAATTTACGTTTTAGATAAAAAACCTTTTTGGTAATTGACTTTACTTTTATTCATCCGCAGAGATCCTTTACGTTAATACTGCAAGCTTACGACGACTTCGAGTACTCAGATCCAGGTGAGGCAGTCTAAGATATGAAGCGGCACACAGTACACAGCGACTGGTACAGTGCAGTAATGTGAGCGTGTTGTGTGGCAGAGGCGGGGCTGGTGGAGGAGGCGTGGTGGTCGGGCATCGTGGAGCCGAGCGCGGAGTGGCACGCGCTGCAGCACGCGGGCGCGGCGGCCGCCGTGGCGTACCGCGTGCGCGTGCTGTGCCAGCCCAACTACTACAACACCACCTGCACCACCTTCTGCCGGCCGCGGGACGACAAGTTCGGCCACTACTCCTGCACCGCCGAGGGCGACAAGCGCTGCCTGCCCGGCTGGCAGGGCGACAACTGCGAGAAGCGTGAGTCTCTCTGTGCTTCGCTCAGCGACCGTTCAGCGACAGCAATCATTTGGGTACTAACATTGTTGCGATACTTCCAGCTGTGTGCAAGGAAGGCTGCCACCCGACGCACGGCCGCTGCGACCGCCCCGGAGACTGCGAGTGAGTACTAGTACTGACTGGTGTACGGCACCAGCACTACCGGCAGTGTCGGCTCACCGGCCGCTCGCTTGGTTACAGTTGCCGGCCGGGCTGGCGCGGCGAGCTGTGCGCCCAGTGCCAGCCGTACCCGGGCTGCAAGCACGGCTACTGCAACGGCTCCTCCTGGGACTGCACCTGCGACACCAACTGGGGCGGAATCCTGTGTGACCAAGGTAAGTGGAACCTGCAGTTACCATACTGCGGCAGCTCAGTTGACACAATTGACACAATGTGAGGATTGGCAAGTGACTCTAGCTTCAGTTTTGCCAACGCTGAAGTAGATTTTTGTTCAAAGTGCAAAATATAATGTATTATTATAAAATACAACCACTAAGGTCTCAACAAAACCTTAATGAAAATGAAAAATTAAATGAAGCTTGTAAGAAAGTTTTTTGGAACGATCTGTATCAAACAAACATGTATTTAGATTTAATAGACTTAGGAGTATACAGCAAAATTTATTTTCGACTACTAGACCTACAAACCAAAAGGTTTTTTGGATATTGGGTTATTTTTTAATTTTTATAAAAAAATCATATGTGACCAACCGTGATAAAGCTAAGATAACCAATGACCTCCTAAATCCCTGAAAAAATCGTGTCAGTGAATGCGCCAAACATGTCTAGGAATCACTTTCAACATGAATATCGCAGATCTCAACTACTGCGGCACGCACGAGCCGTGCCAGCACGGCGGCACGTGCGAGAACACGGCGCCCGACCAGTACCTGTGCCGCTGCGCCGAGGGGTTCTCGGGCACGGACTGCGAGCGCGTGGACAACCCTTGCGCGCCGCAGCCCTGCGTGCACGGCGAGTGCTCGCTGGCCGCCTCGCCGCGCGGCTTCGCCTGCGCCTGCCAGCGCGGCTGGGCGGGCGCGCTCTGCGACCAGGACGTCGACGACTGCGCCAGCGCGCCCTGCCGCAACGGTGCCACCTGCCGGGACCGCCTCGACGCCTTCGTCTGCGACTGCGCTCCCGGCTGGACCGGCCCGACCTGCACTGAAGGTAGCCCCGCTTCGATGTCATTATGGCAATACGCGTGTCCCCCTATTACAATATTCATAGTCATCAATAACTGACTAACTCTACTGGTGACAGCTGCAGCACATTTTTAACCGACTTTTTAAAGGAGGTTTTCAGTTTGACATGTATGTATGTATGTATACATGTATGTATGTGTACATGTATGTATGTGTACGTGTATGTATGTGTACATGTATGTATGTGTACGTGTATGTATGTGTACATGTATGTATGTGTACGTGTATGTATGTGTACATGTATGTATGTGTACATGTATGTATGTGTACGTGTATGTATGTGTACATGTATGATGTGTACATGTATGTATGTGTACATGTATGATGTGTACATGTATGTATGTGTACATGTATGATGTGTACATGTATGGATGTGTACGTGTATGTATGTGTACATGTATGGATGTGTACGTGTATGTACGTGTGCATGTATGATGTGTACATGTATGTATGTGCATAATTATCTCGGGATTGTCGGGACTGATTTTGATGTGGTTTTCAGAAAAGTGTTTGTTACACTTAGGAACAGGTTGTTAATACCCACATAAATTATTACTATTCAGAAATAAATAAAATATATAATAAAAGTTGTTTCTTCTATAAATCAATAAGAAACCATCTTTGGAAGTGATTGGATATTGATTTGATATCGCAATAACTAATACGTCTTGGAGTCGGACGGCACAGCCCGTCCACGTCAGCTAAGCCTTTCGAGAATTAGAAGACGTGACGCGTGACGTTATTTAAACATAATTATTTATGATGTATTGCTGTAATAACTCAATTATTATTGTTTAATATGCATACAGATGTGAACGAGTGTGAACAAAGGGGGGCGGAGGCAGCGAGCGGTGGGCCCGAGGGTGCGCTGGGCCCTTGCGTCAATGCAGCCGCGTGCAACAACACGGCGGGCGGGTACTCGTGCGCCTGCCTGGCCGGCTGGACCGGCCGCGACTGCGAGGCCAACGTGGACGACTGCACCGGCCAGTGCCTCAACGGCGCCACCTGCATCGACCTCGTGGACGATTTTCACTGCGCGTGCGCGGCCGGCTACTCGGGCCGCACGTGCGCGCTCGACGTCGACGACTGCGCGCCGCGCCCCTGTCGCAACGGCGGCGAGTGCGTCGACCTGCTCAACGCGTACCGCTGCATCTGCCCCGTCGGCTTCTCCGGCACCAACTGCGAGGTACCCGCGGCCCGCCGCAACCTCTCTGCTATCTCTCTGTCTGTCCTTACTAATGTAATATTAACTGCAATGTATCCGTCGCCCGCTCAGGTGGACCGCTCGCCCTTGCACTAACAACTACTAACTCGTCTTCTGCTTTTTTAGCTGACCTCCTGTTACGGACGTTATTGCGTGGTAAGTTTCTTGCAATACTGTTTGCACACCAGTAACACACAAAATGTTCCTACACCAGAATGTTGTGAACATATTTATTCGTTATGTGACAGGACGACCGCGACCACTGCGCGGGCGCTCCGTGCGGGAACGGCGCAGCCTGCTACACGGCCCAGAGCGACTACTACTGCCACTGCGCCCCCGGCTGGACCGGCAAGAACTGTACGCAGCGCGCAGCTAAAGAACGTAAGCACCAATCCCCGTACGACTACTGCAACGTTCGGCGACTGATCTTAAATCACAGGAGGTTTGATAAGTTGCTAGGAGTCCCTTCCTTAGCTGTCTCTCTCTCACACCTCTTGTCATTACGTGGTGCGCCTTCTAAACTTACTCATAAACTTATTTTTAATACTTGTTTGATTCTTAAGAAGTCAAAGCCCATGTCATGACACAAAGGAACAGAGACCGACCGATATTGCGAAGAGACCGTATCTTTGTAAACATTTAGAGGGTTCCCTTCCTACTTAGACTAGTTTGGTCGATGCGAATTGTAGAGTAGAGCAGCGCGTGATATGTGTGTGTTGTGCGCGCGCAGAGAGCGACGTGTGCACGGCGGGCGGCGCGTGCGTGCGCGGGCGTTGCGTGCGCGCGCCCCCCGCGGCCCCGCGCTGCGTGTGCCAGCCCGGACACTCCGGCGCGCTCTGCGACCAGCGTGCGTACCACCAGTCCCCGCCCGTACTCCGCCCGCGCCCGCCATTACACCGCTCTCTTGTGTTGCAGAGGTGAACGAGTGCGCGAGCAGCCCCTGTCGCAACAACGGCAGCTGCGTGGATGGCACCGCAGACTTCACGTGCATCTGTCGCGACGGCTGGACCGGTATGCCAGTCTAGTGACTCTTTTCCTCGTTTGTGGACTGATTAAGACGCACGTACAACGTTGATTGATTTCTTTCGTTCGTTTCTCAGGTAAAACTTGCTCAATACGTGTAGATGGAATCGAGCACTGTCCCGAAGGAACTTGTGCAAACGGAGGTACGTGCGTGCGCGAGGGAGGAGGCTGGCGCTGCGTTTGCGCGGGCGGCTGGGCGGGCGCCGCCTGCGACACGGCGCCGGCACCTGCAGCGCCTGCCTGCCCGTGCGCGGCGGGCGGCACCTGCGTGCCCACCGCGGCGCCGCCCGGCTGGGCCTGCGCGTGCCGCGAGGGCCGCACGGGCGCGCGCTGCGAGCTGGCGGCCGAGCCGTGTGCGTCGGCGCCGTGCCGCAACGGCGGGCGCTGCGTGGGCGGCGCGGGCTGGTGGGCGTGCGAGTGCGCGGCGGGCTGGTCGGGCGACACGTGCTCGGTGCGCGCGTGCGCGGCGGCGTGCCCGCCGGCGGCGGCGTGCGTGGCGGACCCGCTGCGGCCGGAGCGCGGCGCGCGCTGCGTGTGTCCGCCGCCCCCGCACCGCTCCGCTCGCCGCTGCCTCGAGAGTTAGTACCTCACTGCCTGTTCATAGCGTATCGCGAACTTATTCGTAATTTTAAAATAAAGAAATTTATATTATGTTTTATACATATATGAAAATAAAATTATTTGATGGACCGAAGTTTAACCACTATCTCGCCTGGTGGTAAGCGATGATGTGGCCTACGAGGAAGCACGTCGGAATGGGAATGGGAATAAGCAACCTATTCACTCCGGCGTTAAAGACTCCTGGGAGTGTTCAAGGCCGGAGGTTATACTCTTCAGGAAATACAAACTGGCAAAGAATTCCACTCCTTAGCAGTATGCAAGCAGTTATAATCATATATGACATTTGGGACGAAGGGCTTTCGGCAAAGAGTATAATAAGTATAGGGGTAGGGGTAGTATAGGGGTTTTCGGGTAAAAGTTAGTTAATGACCTTTTAAATCCCTGAAAAATTGTGTCTGTCCATGCGCCGAATATTCTGTATAATTGAAATGAATGTTTCATTCTAACAAATTGTAGATTTTTTTTTTGGCGTATGTCGTAAACGAGCAGACGGATCACCTGATGGGAAGCAATCGGCGTCGCCCATGGACACCTGGAAAACCAGAGGCGTTACAAGTGCGTCACCGGCCTTTTGGGGATTAGGAGTTTGAGGATCGTTGGGGATTCAGGGATTGGGGAGATTGGGGAAGGGGAGGGTAATTGGGCCTCCGGTAACCTCACTCACACGACGAAACACAACGCAAGCGTTGCTTCACGTCGGTTTTCTGTGAGGCCGTAGTATCACTCCGGTCGAGCCGGCCCATTCGTGCCGAAGCATGGCTCTCCCACACTTAAAAAGATGTTGACAAGTTGATGTTTTTTAAATCCGACACAACACATGTTTGTGTACAATGTTACTTATTTAGAATAAAAGTAATAATAAGTTGTGAGTTTATGAAGTAATCGGTCGTGCTCGCACTAGTGCTCGCGGGGCTTGGAGCGGACGGCGACGAGGGCGCTGAGAGCGACGAAGGCGGCGCGCGCGACGTGGGCGAGGGCGGCGCAGGCGCGGACGGTGCCGACGGCTCGCCCGGCGCGTGCGGCGCCGACAACGGCACGTGGTGGTGGGGCTGCAACGCGTGCTGGTGCGAGGGGGGCGCGCCCGCCTGCACGCGCCTGTGGTGCGGCCTGCCCGACTGCCACGGCGCCGCCGCGCAGCCCTGCCGCACCGACGAGGTATCTATCATCACTATTACTGGTTGCTGCGTCCGCCGTCCCGTGGAGCAGCAGTAGTCTCTAAGATACTACTGATATTCCAGACCATAATCTACCCCTGTTATAAAATGCAGTCATTTTGTCGTAAACGAGTATATGATATTACCAGCTTTTACCCACGGCTTCGCTCGCGTCGCAAAAGGATAAAAAGTAGCCTATGTGACATATACCATACACACAGTGTACGTATACACACAGCGCCATCTATACCAATAATTTCCTTTTTCCTCGAGAATATCAATCCGGGATAAAAAGTACCCTATTATTTAATCCAGACTTCTAACTTCACGTCTGCAAAAATTCAAAGCAATCGGTTTACGCCACTTTCACGCCGTAACTACTGTTACGGCGTGAAAGTGGAACAAACAAACAAACTCACTTTCCGATACGATTTATAATACTAGTAAGTAAATAAAGTTTTTCTTTCTTTCTTTCTTTCTAAGGAATTTTACCGACTTCAAAAAAAGGAGGAGGTACTACGTTCGGCTGATTGTTATGCGTCTATTATGTTGTTCAATTAGGAGTAACGTAGGGTCTGGAGACGACCTGATGATGAAGCCGACAGACAGTCGAGAGAACTCCTCAACGGTTTATATTAAGTACCTTGTGTTTAGGCTTCATTAATTTGTTTTGATGAGGACTTTCATCAGGACTAATCAGTAAACAAACAAAAAATCGTACAAAATAATAAGAATTTTGGAATATTAAAATAATCGTTCGACTCCATCAGGTGTGCGTGCCGAGTGCGCCGGCGCTGTGTCTGCGCGGGCCGTGCGCGGCGCTGGGCGAGTGTCGGCGCGTGGCGGGCCGCCGCGTCGAGCCGCCCGCGCTGCCCGCGCCGCCCGCCTGCTGGCCCGGCGCCCGCGCGCGCGTCCCGCCCGGCTGTGCGCGCGCCACGCTGCAGCTCGCGCGCGAGCGACTGGCGCGCGGCGCGCACGTCGAGCGAGCCTGCGCCGCGCTGCGTCGGGCGCTGGCCGCGGCGCTGGCGGCCACCTCGCATGGCGCGCCGCCGGCGCCGCCACTCGCGCTGCTCTGTGACTTGGCAGCTGACGATGACGATGCACTAGACCTCGCTCTGGTGAGTAACGCTAGGTTCTGTGTGGGTGTAATTCTGACACCCGATGTGTAATGATTTCTTACAACATTAACATTGTTATGTTTGTAAAGTAATCATTCTATAAATTACGAAAATAATAAGTTTCTAAAATTACGTTGCAGTGGATTGGCGATGAAGTGGGAACTGACGGTACCGAGCGAGCCGAGGCGCTGGGGGCTGCCGTGCGAGCGCTCAGCGACCTCGTGGCGCGGCGCCGCCTCGCGCAGCACGCGCTGCTCGGCGCCGCGCTGCGCCTGCGCGTGCCCGCAGCGCCCGCGCTGCTCGCTGACCCCTCGGCGCCCGCACCCGCACTTACCATGGCGCTGGCGGCGCTGGGGCTGCTCATATTGGTGGCGGTGGCAGCAGCCCTCGTATTCTGGCTGCGACGACGTCGCGCCGCCGCCGCCGCCGAGCGGTCCCGACGTTGCGACGAGGAAAAGTCGAACAACTTACAAAACGAAGAGAACTTGCGGCGCTACGCGAACCCGCTCCGCGACGAGCCGGCGGCGGGCGCGGCGCGGCGGCCGGCGGACGAGCTGCCGCGCGCGCACTCGCTGTACAAGGCGCAGAACGCGGACGCGCGCAACGACACGCCGCCGCGCGACAAGGAGCTGACGAAGCGCGCGCTGCCGCCGCCCGAGCCGCCGCCCACGCGCCACGCGCCGCCCGAGCGCCTCACGGTGCTCGTGTGACGCCGCCGCTCTCTCTGTGATAGTGCCGCGCGCACGACATTAACTATTTATTGTTTTACGACATACATCGCCATTTTGTAAATATTGTATTTTATGTAAATAATGTTGATCCGTGTGAAAGCTTTGTACGTTTTGTGAGTGAAAAATGAAGTATTTTTGTTTGTAAAGGTTGTAAAGAGAAAATGACAAGTTGTTGTAATAAAAATAAACTGAGTTTATTCAATTGTTTTATTATCATATGCTCGAACGATGGTCATAGTCACAGTACTCACAGTCACAGTCATATAATATTATACCTTACTTTATTTTTATTTTCTTCTTTGGCTACCGAGTCTTCAATACGATGTTGTCGACTACACTGCCAGTGTCGGGTGGTGACGGCAGCTTAATGAACCGTCGAACTTAACTTTGAGGTAGTTTTTAGTAGTTAGTAGCTGAAAGGACACAGCAATTGGGTTAGTAAACATAAATATTAACAACTATTTTAACTACTGTATATGTACAGGGGTGAAGAAAATAGTTGAGGGGACGTACACAATACAGACAGATATATACATCATAGTTTAATCTCATTGTCATTAATAAATCTGCATAAACAATGGATTAATTTGGGGGAAAAGTGAGTTAAAAGGAGGTGGAAACTAATTGGAAGTGGGATTTGGATACTGGGGAGTTCTTTTCTTTATAATAGGTCAAAAGATTAAGAATTTAAGGGACACGAAAAAAACATATGATCTGAAACACCACACTGTTTCATCCTTGTGCTAACCGGGGGAGCTTAGAGTGCTTGGAAAACCAACGCCTCGGACGGATGCCGGACTGGACACCTGCACAGTAGGCTCCTTTACTTTTGGAAGTATCTACCTACACTGCAGCCCATGAATCAAAAAGCTTGTATGGTGTCGGCACATCCATCATACCCGTACACAACGTAGTGTTGACGTTCGACATCGTTCGAGGCCGCAAATTTGGCTAATGAGTCCGGACACTCGTTACCGCGTATGCCAGAGTGGCCAGGAATCCACGCGATCTCGATGTTTAGGCCATTATTGAAGCAGGAAAGATGAAGCGCCTTTATCTCAACAATCAAACTGCAGCAGCCAGCAAAAAGATCCACATTTTGTTTTTTAGAGCACAATGCACTTTTTTAGTCCACAGTTGAATTATTTTTAAGAAATGGAAATATCCAACATTGTACATTGTGTGGCAGCACTGGCAGAGTCGCCATGCAACGTGGAGCAATGACGGAGAGGTGTTAGTGTTAGGAATATTTTTAATTAAGTGTCTTAAGAACTAACTTACACTACTTACTTATAGGGCGAGGTGTCACACACACTACAGCAGGAGGGGAAATCCTTATGGAGACTTACACCTCCCCACGAATAGGGAGGTGTGAGTACCTACTGCCGGACTCTTATCGGCTAAAACCCCTCCTGCTGTGCCGAAGTGCTCCTCTGACGTGATGAGAGACCTTCATTACACATTTTATATTTACGGAATTTGAGCTGGGATCCATTTTGATATATATATATATAGATAGATAAAGGTGGCGTGAAGGTGGAACTGTTTGTTCCACCTTCACGCCGAAACAAACAAACTCACTTTCAGATTTATAATATTATTAGTATATTAGTATTAGTAAGGATAAGGATAATTGACGCTAATGTCGCGATATTCCTTAATATTTGTACCTAGCGCCACTTTTTGCCCTTCGATTGATATGCTATATTGAGGTTTGGCGCTTTCCGTCATCATCGTGCCGTGTTCACGCAAACGCTCCACCATGTGTAACATGTCTTTTAGAGACGTTTGCGTGGCCTTGTAGGACTTTCGACGAGATGGACTAAGCAGCGAGAACCTGTGTATAGCAAGCGAAGGACATCGTCTATGTTCCCGGCCGTTGTTTTTTCTCTGATCACGTCGCATGGGATGTTGCAGTTACCCAGCGATGACGGATGGAGTTCTTGACACCACGCGCGGGCCTCAGGAGGACCACCGGCGGCAACCCTCGGATACTTTTTATAAATATAAATATTGTTATCATATATAAATACTAAATACATATATAAATATATTGACGCTACTGTCTATATATTATGTCAATATGCGTACTTAGCGCCAATTACATTTGCCCTTCATTAGTTTCGCCACGTTGAGGTTTGGTGTTCTCCGTCATCGTCGTGCCGTTATCACGCAAACGTTTCACCATGTGTAACATGACTATTAGAGACGTGGCCTTGCAGGACTTTCGACGTAATGGTCTGAACTGCCAAAACCTATGCTCGCCAAGGGAAGTGCATCGTCATTGTTCCCGGTCCTGTGTGATTCTGACCACGTCTTTTTGTTGCTGGGCTTTCCCGCTGCCCTAAGCAGTTCTCTGCACCATCTGCACCATCGGCATTCCACCCTATTGGAGGTGACAGCGTTCAGAGTGGACACTGATCGGCGTCCGGACCACCGCAGCCAGGTACTTGCCATATATTTAAGTTTGCGCGGCTTCATATGAAGCTGAGCACGACTTATTTTGTACCTCGTCTGAAGGACGCAGTGATCCGAACAGCTGTCTTTTTCTTGCGCGTTAGTGCCTCCCACCAGTATTTCCTTGTTTTTATTAGGCCCCCACCAACGTGCCCTACTCTTGTAGGGGAAACTTTTCATAAGAGTATCGGTGCCTGGATCCAGTTTGACTGCCTGTGGGACGCCAAATACCACCTTAGCAATAAGTAACGGCCGCTCGGGCCAAGGCGTCCCACTTCCTACGGACAGGACAGTCTTGGGCGAAAATAGAGTGACCCGTGTTGGTTTCGCCATTTCTGTGGCAATTTATGCAGGTAGGACCAACCCCTTCAGCGGATCTAGGGCAATCCGCCTGGAGGTGTGGTCCCCCGCAACGGTTGCACGGGTCCACGTGTTCTGTGCAACTTTTCCGCCCATGGTCGTAGGACAGACACCGACTACATTGGACCAGCGGAGTCTGGTCTAATACCTTGACGTGCTGCAGGTCAACGTAAATTCTGCCAGCCGTGGTCAGCCTCTCCCACAACCGAGGTCAGACCTGGAGGACGACGTGGTTCTCGAGAGAGTTCCGCGCCTTCCTCTGGTACTTAATGGTCACGGCCGACTCCTCAGCTGCCAGACCCTGCAGCAGGCACGCGTTTTGCGTCTTAAGAGCGGCCTTTAAGTACTCGTCAGTGTTGTAGGTCCCGGACAATTACGAGTGGATTCCGCTGACGCGCGTTTTCCACCCGCAACTGCCCGTCGGTCCTGAGCTGCGCTGTCATCCTATCCGGCTCCTCCTTGCTGGTGCAGCTCAGCACCACCCTCTGGTACTTGACTTTTCGGACATTTTCCACCTGAAGGCCGCTCACCTTCGCGTTCAACGCCTGCCGGACTCGCCCCAAAACATCGCCGCTGGTTTCCATTGCGTCGCCGGAGGACACAACGATTGAGTGTTTTGGTCTTGCAACCCGCCCTGCACACTTCGGTTTCGACAGGACCTCCGCATAGGAGGGCGCTTCTGCCCTCATCTCGGAGACTTGTCTTTCGATCTCCCGGGTTGCAGACTTGAGCTCTTGCATCTCTGCAAGAAGCTCTACGCCCTTTCCGCTGTGGCCTTCGGCGACGGAGGCAGCATCCATACGCCGCCGATCAATGAGAGCTGCCTTCAAGTCCCCCATTTGCACGGTGGCCACCCTCAGGAGTTCACCGTGTTCCGCCATTTTTGTGAGGAGTTCGGCCTCTCTGTCCACCATTCTGGGGGCCTCCAGACCCGCAATATCTCCGACCTCAGGGAGTCGCTGGTGTTCGGACTCCTTCACCAGTTGGTAGAGGCGCTCAATGGCTAGTGTCGCCTGGGTCTTGATCTCCGTTTTTAGGTTTCTTGCAAGACCCAGTTGACACTTGGCCTGTTTCAGCCAGTACCGCGCCTCCACCGTCCGGTTCTCGAATGTTCGAGTTGGCTGAGGGGAATTGGGTGAGGATGCGAGCCCCGAGGACCTACGCTCTCGCGGTTTGGTGGGAGCCAGGTTGCGCTGGGCGCAACTCGGTGGGACCGGACCGTGCTGTTTATTTGCTGGCGTCTTTACGGTGTCGGGAAACAGACACCGTATCGCATTGGGGGGAGCCGGCGACTCAGGAGTGGTGTCGCACATATTAGCAGGAGAATGGAGCAGGATAAAGGGAGCACCTGGCTCTATATGCTGTATCCCTGTAAAGAGGGGATACAGATGTCAAAAATAATATTTTATCTTATTTTCGCGGAATTATCGCGGAGCTGAAATTATCGCGGTTAATGATCGAAATTATCGCGGAGCTGGTGCAGCGCACGGCGACGGAGGAGTCGCGGCAACTGCAGGCGCGGGTCGATCGGATACAGATGTCAAAAATAATATTTTCCCTGTAAAGAGGGGACTGTCTGTGATAAAATTAATGTCAACAAATGATTGGCCCTGTAAAGGGGGGATCAAGATTATAATGTAGTCAAATTTTAAATAAATTATAAATAAATTGTCAAATAAATAAATTAGTAATAAAGGTAAATAATAATTGGTCAAATAAAATAATTATAATCGGATTGAGTAAATAAGTAAAAAGCAGACTTAGATTAGGAACTCCGTTCAAACCAAAATTTGATCCTCTCGATATCGTCCGTCGATAGAAGTCATAAAAGCTTTTTCGATCGAGAAGAGCCTTTCTTGTCCCTATTAAAAATCGGATAACATAAATTTGAAAATTTATGTTATCCGATCGGGGCGTGCGATACGTCCGGAGTAGCGTCTCGGCGCGGGCCGTCCAACAGAGTGAAAATCCCGGGTCGGTTTCCTGAAATAATTTAACGTTTTGAATGAAAAACGAGTTTTTTCACCAAATTTTGGTCAATTGCGAGGATTTTTCGCGAAACGTCTGGGGTTATTGAGTCAAAAACCTATCCAAATCTTAGATTATAAGCTGCTGAAGCTGTATTAAAAATTTTGTCGCCCTAGGTCAAATATGAAAAAAGTAAAAAATTTTCGAATGAAATATTTTGGTCCAAAGTAACTTTAGGGGTGGAAATTAGTTCGGGGGTTGAGCCCTCGACTGTAAAAAGTACCGAAATAGTTATTGGGAGCTTAGAGGAGATGGTAAAAACTGAAAACTGCTCCGAAATCGGTTGTTTGGTTTCCAAAATATTTCGAATGTATGGAGAATTTGTTCGGTATAGGTGGATTCTGAGCAAACTTAATGTATGGAGAAACTGAAA